CTGATAACATCTTATCTATGCAACCCTATAAATTTTATTTTAAAAATTGACTAATAAACCAATTTAGTAATGTAGGGAGTACAAAGTGAATATACAAAATCTCATACTATTTTAATATGCTAACAATCTTTAAAAGTCAGTAAAAATTTCCAAGGTCTCAAGAAAACATTAATATGTCAGAGAATATAAGCAAACATGGTATAATAAGTCAAATATTAGCCTTTCTCATAAAGATGGCCAGTGATAAAATAAAGCAATAGGAAATAAATTAGTGGCTGGTATCACATATTTTAAAAATCAGCAAAATAAGTCCAACTACAATCTCATTAAAAACATTAAATACTTAAGAAAAATTTAACCAGAGGTTGAAGATATATACATCTAAAAGTATAAAATATTTGTGAACAGATTGAAAAATAAATAAATAAATAAATAGACATTCCATGTTCATGGATCTGAAAAACTAGTATTATAAAAATTATCCATACAACCAAAGCATATGCAGATTCCACACAATCCTCACCAAACTTCCAGAGACATTTTTCATGGAAATAGACAATCTTAAAATGTATATGGATCTAAAAATGCACCCCCAAGGTCAAAGCAATACTGAGCAAGAACAACCATGCTGGAGGACTCATAGAGTAAACTCAGTCCTGGTCCTGAGCCAAAGAAGCCTATAATGGAATGAGCAGAGAAAACTAGCCTCCCCATAGATTTAATGACAAACATTATACTTGAGAATATCACGTCCTGTGCTGGATGGGTGTAGTGTAAAATGAAGACAAGAGCCTCAGGAGTGGCTGGAGTCTTTCTAAAGCTGCTAGCTAAGAAAGGACGGTGATGTCAGAGGTGAGGTCTGAAGGAACTATCTCTGGGATTCCTTCCAAATCCATTATCTGAAGAGGAATTCATCCAAATGGACGCCACTATCAGCCCCTGAGCTCCGTGTTTACTTCACAGTATCATGGAATGCTGGAGCCAAAGGTATCTCCAGCTTGGTCATCTTTTAGTCTGACGCCTGACACAAAGGCAGAAACTGAGGCTCAAAGAGATTAAGAAGTTAACTGCCAAGGGAAACACAGCTTAGTAGTGCCTAACCCAGGAGAGTTAAAATTAACTCCAATAGTAGTCGTTTAAGGAATTAATATTTTAGTAAGGATGATGAAGCATGGCTGGGCGGTTGTATGTACTTTGTCCAAGACCAGCTCCTCTGTGGACTCAGGAAAGGGAGATGATGATCAGAAGCCATCATCAAGATGATGATCAGATTGTCAAGAGGGAGTTTATAGGACCTGCTACCCAGGTGCATAATAAAATGCAATGATTTCAAAATTGCAATATATGTATGCATGTATATATATATATGTATGTATATATACACACACATATATATGTGTATATATATGGCAGAGTGGTGTGGTGGGATTTTACACAGACTGTATATATATATATACCTGACCAATAAAAGGATGCTAGAGGTAGATTGGTTCGTTAGCTTGAAATAATCTTATACAATGTCTATGTATACATATATGTGTGTGTATGTGTGCATATACATTTATATATAAACCATCACATCGTCCCTCATCAGCAAAAAGTGCCATGATTTGACAGTTAAAACTTTTTAAATGAAACTAGAAAACGTACTCAATTTCAATAGAGAAAGTGTTAAGCCAGGAGCAGGTCGCCTCCCCGCGCAAGTTCTCTCTCTTGTGCTCCATCTCCACAGAAAAGCCCATGGTCCCTTTAAGCTGGGCTTTTTCTCTTCTTTTTTTCCCCCCTTTTTACTTTCTTTGGGTTTTTTTTATTGCATGTACATATTTACTTAAACAGCTCATTCAGCTTTGCTTTCGCATGAGCGTAGCACTGGACTAGCATTATCATACACCCTCTTCAGTGACACCCGCACCCTTATTCACGTTCAGATTTATAGCAGTTCACTCATGTCATCACTGTGCTGCCACATTTATGTCATGAGAGTAACTATTCGTGTAAACACTTCCTGAGTGTGCTACAGCTGAATAGACTGGACGTGGCTTAGGTTTCTTTGTGTTCATTCAATTTGTACGCCTTCGTAAATTCATGAATTCCTAAGTTCTCACTGGTTCTGGCACTTTCCTGTCAACTGCTAAGTTCTCTGCTCCATTTCCTGCCCACTTCCTGTCCTTCATTTCATGGATCTGGGATACCCTCCCTCCAGATTCTCCACGGCACTAACCACCTTGGTCCATCTCTTGTCTGTGAACCCTTTTGGGGGTCATTTCTATTTTAGATATATCTTCAGCTCATAAAATGTCTCTCCATTTCCATCTGAAGCTAACCCCATCTATTTCCTTTAACTTCCATTATTTTATACTTCCTCAAGAGAAACTTATTTGCTACCTCTGACCACCAGGTGTACATTATTTAAAGCTGCTGCTCCTGAACATTTATAAAGTTTTTTCTCTTCTGTTCAACATCTTAAACATGGTTATATTTGATTTCTGATAATCCCAATATTTTAAGTCTTTGCTCATGTTCTCTGCCTACTACTCCTGTTCTTTCTCATTCTTGATTTGTTTCCCTGTATGTTGATGACCCTGCGTTTTCTTGCAGTTCCCAGGGCTCGGGTAGAAAGGAGACACGTTATTTCTTGTTTACTTTTGCTTTACTCATCCCAGCTTTGTAGCATGTGCTCCTGCATTTTAAATTATTTCGGTAGACAGAGTATTTCTGGGTCCTACTCTACCCACATCATCAGAAAAGTTTGATTATTTCATTAGAACCAAATGCTGCTCTCCTGGGCCCAAGTCCTGTCCATTTGGAAGCAAAAACATCAGTAAGTCAAGGCACACTCCGAGCAGTGTTAGACCTAACGTGGATCATAAATCAATGCCTCGGAGCATCTTGGAGCATCCGTCTGTGTCAATAAATATTTTCATTAACTGACTTTTTTTTAGAAGACAAAACTCTTTCACATAGAATCCTTTAAACCTTTCCAGCAGCATCTTCAAGTATCACTTTCCTAAGTAAGAGGTACGTGTGTTAGCAAGGTCCTGGAGGACAGCAGATCTTCCCCGTAAACCCACTCAAGCTGTCAGCGCACGGGGCTCTGCCGGCATTGACCATTTTCATTGTTACATTCAACGTCTCTAGGAAGTTGTATTTGTTTGTAGGTTTTAATGGAATTTGTCTAAGAATGAAGCAGACACTAAAATTTATTGAGCAAAGTACCAGGTGCCATGCTGAGTGTACATGTTACTTCACATGAACTTTTATTACTGTCCTGTGAGCTTAGTAGTAACATGCCTAGCTTTTATTTTAAAAAAACTAGACATATACTCATGAACGTATAGCTATTGAGTAATAAATTCAAGATTTTAAACCAATTCCACATGACTTCTAAAGAATACTTTTCAATGCACCATGCAAGCAAAATCGACTCTATTCATTTTATCAAATGGTAAGAATCTAATTACAGAAACTGACTATCAAAGGGAAATAGTGAGATATGCTACTCACCCATTCAATCCTTAACCTGTCTATCATTTGATCTTTACAACTTATTTTTGACAATGGAAGGTAGGATCTCTTCTGGATAACTAAAAAAGACCTGAGAGGTTCGAGTATTTAACTCAACGTGCATAGGTTGGATGACAATCTTGGCACTGTGCTGTTACACTGTCAAGTCAATGTTATAAATATTGCAGTATTTATAAGGGACTATGTTTTGATCCTACTTATAACCCAGCAAATTAATTCAATAACTGCTTTCAAGCCATCAAGAGACAGAGAACTTGAAAAGACTTGCTTCCTCCAAAGGAAACTCACAAGACATTTCTGATCCTAAAACACAGGCCCTCGAAGTCTGTATACAGGATAATTCTCTGCTACTCCTCAATGTGAAACTTCACAAATTGGAAGACAATAGTATTATCTCAAAGTATTTTCTAATATCAGATTCATTTAAGTTTAAAAATGTCTAATAAAGGTCATGGTATGTAACTCAGTAGTAGATCTTCTGTAAGGATCTGGGTTCAAGCCCCAGCAGTGCAAGAAAACATCCTCAGAATAAAGATACTTTTACTAACTAGTATTTATTGATTTAACTTGAAGGTTAGTTTAAGTTAAATGGTATTTTCTCCTCTTGATGGCCAAAAGAAATTATCTGAGCAGCTACTTGAAAGCATTATCTATTTATACCCGAATCTGGAGGACTGTTTAAAATATATCATAGGTCTGAACTAAATACTGATCTCACAAAGGTAATTTGATGCTTAAATCTGTCAAGAAGAATGAGAAAGGTATTCATAACATAATTTAAATTATGTAGACAAAAATTAAGATGGACCAACCTAAGAGATTTGCTATGATCACACCACATGAAAAAACAGGTACATGTGAAACTTCTGAAGTTGTATTTGGATGTCAATTTTTTTTTCCTAAGGGCAATTATATTTTCTAGGTGAAAAATCAGGACACACAAGCCTATAATTTTCTTCTGAATTTTGAATTCATGAAAAGTCACACAAACTTTTATAAGTTGATAAAATATTCATTTTACAAATTCTTTGATAAATTGTATTACCCTGGGACTGTCCTAGTTTTTCTGTTTATCATATCAATCCACCATACCAAAATAACTCCTTTTAAGATGCTAATCGTGTTGCTTCTTCTTCTGTAGACATACATCTCTGCTCAGTGAAACCTCGCCCTTAGAAAGTTTTCATGAAGAATTTTTAATGGGAATTTATCACATAATATCCTTGAGTTGCAATATCATAGTTAGCACAACATAGCACCTTTTCTGTTTATGTGTCAAGACTTGAAAAACAAAGGGAAATCTAGAATTTTCTAATGATTCTGGACAAATAAAAAAGACCAGAGAGAATTTCCTAAAATTTCTAGAAGAGATTCCCTCGCCTCACCCCCACCCCCCCGGATTTGGATATAGTTTTGGAATGATTAAAAAAAAATCTGTTCTGTTACGAACCAAAAATCCAGAGACCCACACTCACCTGCTTAAAGAGCTGAAGGTTGACGGCAGTTTCCAGAAACTGCTTCATCACACTGGAGCGGTGCTTCACAAAGCTCTCCTCACAGAAAGTGACAGGCTCACCCTAACAGAGACAGAGAGTTCCGTCAGTCAAAGGCCAGTCAGAGAGAACCCGTCTCTCTGGGGAGGCGCATGGAAAGCCACTGCATGTGAGGCACAGGACCAGCTAACAGATGGTAGAGGCAATAACCAGACTTCAGGATGAACCTGGTATGTCTGCACTGAAAGTGCTCTACAAGAACATTCTAATCAAGCACCCCACGCACTCTTAAACCTGTTTAATTTCACCACTTCAGAGTAGAAGGTAAACCCCCTAAAAATACTTGGCATTTTTAGACTGAACTTTTGAGTTTCAACATAGGATGCATGCTTGGGAAAGCACAAGGGCAATATTTGTCATTCACCTTTTTTAAATCATCATCTATTTGTTTCTAAATGGAGAAGTCTTCTATGCCTTCTCTTCATGACTGCCATACAATCCTGATCAGAGCTGCTCTAGGGTAAGTCCCACCAGGCATCTGCTTCCAGTTAGCTTGTGTGCTAAGTCAAGCAAGCGTCGTTCGGTAGCGCTAACAGGTGTTCCCCCTCCAAATCAACTACAGATTCCTCTTGTCTACATGTTCCTGGGTGAGCAGCACAGAAAGCCACCACTTCCCGGCTGATGCCTACCACCTGCGACCCCCTTCATCAGTGCACTCAACACCGACCAAGACTGTACGTTATGATCAAAACGAAAACACGCCTACTATCATGACCCCAATCTACTCATGGAGATGAACGCCCTCGCAGTAAAAAGGAAGCCGGGAGCCTGTTCACCTGATGTAACCTGGAGGGGATTATGACTCAACTACAAGGCAGATGTGAGGCTTTGATTACAGGTGTCTGTAATGCAACATCCCGACCACAAGCCTCTAGGAGAATAAGATGAGACCATGAAATAAGATAATGAGACTAACAATCTGTGAAGTTGGGCTGCTGTTTTATGATGCTCTAGAACTGCACTGTCCCATAAATCAGCCACTAGTCATGTAGAAATATTAGGGTACATAGATTGAGTAAAATAAAAGTCCACTTCCTATCAACTCTTTTGCACACAAGGCACACATACACCGCTAGTATTGAGCAGCTCAGATACCGAACATTTTCTCTGGCACAAAAAGTCTTCTTGGATAAAACTTCTACTTAAAGAAATGCAGACAAATTACTAGAGAAGACACCACGATGCTCTCATCCCCTTTCATTAGCTAACAAGGCACCACACACACACATACACACACACACACACACACAGCACACACACAGCACACACACACACACACACACACACACACCACACACATACACAAAATGCGTCATATATCTTACACTGAATGTCGGTGCTCTGAAGAGCACCAGGGTTATTTATTTCATTTACACACTCCAAAGCCAGGCGCCAGTAGGTCACACCTATAATCCCAGCTACTCAGGAGGCTGAGATCTGAGGATTCTGGTTCAAGCCAACCTGAGCAGGAAAGATGGCAATACTCTCATCTGCAGTAAACTACCATAAAAGTCGGAAGTAGGGTTGTCCCTCAAGTGGTAGAGCAACTAGCCTTGAGCACAAGAACCTCAGGGATAGCACCAGGCCCCTGAGTTTATGCCCCAGGACCAGCTCCCCTTCCCTCACCCCCAACAAAAAATTACATAGTTATGCTGGGTGCCGGTGGCTCATGCCTCTCATCCTAGCCATTCAGGAGGCTGAGATCTGAGGATCGCGGTTCAAAGCCAGCCCAGGCAGGAAAGACCATGAGACTCCTATCTCCAGAAAACTGGAAGTGTAGCTCAAGTGGTAGAGCGCTAGCCTTGAGCTGAAGAGCTGAGGGATAGCGCCCAGGCCCAGAGTTCAAGCACCATGACTGGCAAAAAAAAAAAAAATTACATAGTTCAAATATTATAGCGAGTTAGACTGATATATTTTGAATGGTCAAAAAGCACTGCATTACTAGTGCCCTCGAACCTACAATCTAGTAGAAGGAAAAAAGCAACAGTCAATCCTGTTGAAGACAAAGGTCTATTGTCTTTCTGTGTATCTCCAGCATCATATTGTTACAACAGGAGCCCAGTAAATCAATGTTTAATCCATCAACAAGCAAGCAAGCAGGCAGGCAAGCAAGCAAACAAGCCCTTTTTCAATAGGGCACAAAAATTTTCAGAAATAAATACAGTTCAAACAAAAATAATTGCTTCGGTGCTTGAATTAGTTAATAGTGAATGTTAATTATACAAAGAGATCCCATTGTGATATTTCCATATGATATACAATGATCAAATGCACTCTACTGCTTTCCTAGCATCCTTCCTATTGTTTTAAAACATTATGGTCCTCCTTGTTCTATTTGTGTGTGTGTGTGTGTGTGTGTGTGTGTGTGTGTGTGTGTTGATCATATACACCTACCCTCCATCTCTCCTTTCATTGGCATTCTCCTCTCCAAAACAGTTCCTTCACTTGACACCTTTGCCATCCAAAAAAATGAATGCTCTAAGCGAAGTTCCATCTGCATCACTACAATTACTAAATTTCCATGTAATAGATTTCCCCTAAAACACACAGGCTATCTAGGTGAGCTAAATGTTATCGACACTGAAGAAAAATACTGTTCAATTCAAATAGAACCCTCTACCTGCAACTGAAAGGTTTAGATTTCCTATCACATACACACACATCTTTTTTTTTTTTTTTTTGGTGGAGGTAATGGAGGGTAAAGTGCCGGAGAATTCCAAGGCAAGGAGACGGGTAAAGATACTAAAATCAACTTAATCTTTTTCAAGAGTTGTGCATGATCTAACACAAAAACTCCATCCTCATGCATCTTTGCGTCAATGCTATCCATCCCTCACAAGGCGGGAAGTAAAGCTCTGGTTTCTTGTGCATCCATTTCTGAGGACGTAAAGCATGGTAAATCTTCGAACTAACTTTTCATATTCTGATCAAACACAGTTGGTATACTAAGAATCTCTAATAATAACAGAATCCAGACACACATTGTAATTTTCTTCTAGGGAAATGAAAATTAGTGCTTGTTGTCAGGGCTCTCTGGTTTTTTCTATGTGTTTGTGCATCAGTACACTGAAAGTTCTGGTGCTGATATTCTCGGGGGGCCTGAATTCACTGCCATCCGAGGGCGCCCGGTCCGAAGCAGTTGACACATGGCTCCTAAGCAAGCAAGCACTTTCAAATCCAAGTTGACCTGAATGACTGGAGAAAAAGAATTCTGCCTACGCTCTTAACCAGGGTTGAGATGATTTTTTTTTAAGTTCATGTAGCTAACTACACTGCATACCATTTTGGAGTTGAGAGGGAAGGGGGGATTAGGAATCAACAAGACTGTCACCTGATCTGAAGCAGGGCTTCTCAAAGTGTTACCCAGGTTCACAGGCAGGACTCGCTCCATTAAAACCAATCCTGGCATTGTGTGCACCATCCCTTGCCCTTTTTACTACAACGCTCTCCAGAGACCCCGTGGTACCCACCAGAGGCTCCGCAATTTTCCATACTGCAACAGACTAAACGTGGAGGCAGTCATCAGCACAGTCCAGGTATCTTATATGCACCAGATAGTAAAAAAAATAAAATAAAATATAAAACAATTCCATGCTCTAACCAGACGGGTGAGAAATAGTTTACTTTTAGCCGGGCACAGTGACTCACACCTGTTATCTAGTCTGAAGTCAGAAACTTCGCAATAAGGAAATATTTAAAACATAGATTCGATCTTATGCTGCAGGGAGGAGGTGCATGACTTAGGAAGAGCTCAAACCAGAAAAAAAAAAAGTAAGGTACCAAAAAAGTGATACTTGACAAAAATGTGAAATATAATCCCAAATCATTATATACTCAGTGTACACTCAAGCAGTTCCATAATGCACCTGGACTTCATATGTACTGTCACCAATATATAAGGAATATAAACAAATGAAGCAAAAATGTCTGCATACTGAGAGCTTTCAAATTTAAAGTCTCTGAAAGGCTGTCAGGTTTCTCTTGGGAATATTCAAATTGGTGCAGGCTCTCACAGGAAATAACATAAGTGATTTTCAGGATACACAGCATGGGTCTTTCAAGAATGCTATTTTTATGGAAGATATAGCAAGTTTATGCTCAGTTTATTAACTATGAAAAAAAAACTTTCTTCTCCTGCAGACACTTCAGCACAGGAAAAAAAACCCTTCTATGCAAATTATAAACTAGAATTATTAACAGCAAAATACTCCCTTTGTACACATTATACTCATTTATTCCAAAGTTAATAGATCTTGAAAAAAATATATACAGCTACTTCCTCATTCCCCATTTTCCTTTGAGCCAGTAACCTGAGACGGTTTAACAGAAATGGCTTTTCTAAATCAGACATAGAACCTTCTAGCATTTTGGTTAAATTTGAACACTCAGAACATACGACTAGATGATAAATTACTTGTGGACATATTATTTTAAAAATTCACTTCCTTTCCTATAACCAAGGAAATAAGAAAAATAATTCCTAGTGACAACCATCGCCAGTCATCTAACAACAGACACTTCCCTGCCCAGGAGGCTCAGGTCACAGGCCCCGCTGCGTGAACAGCGTCCACCTTCTAGCTGCAGCAATTAGGTGAAATTTTATCCCTGTTAATTAAAAGAACAGAAAGCGACTCCAGAATCACACAAGATGTTCCGCAGCAGAGGCCCCCCCCTCCATGCAGAAGCCTGGATGGTAAGGAAGGGAGCCCACAAGGCTGGATCAGGCAGGGATAGAGCTGAGCGGGAGGAGAGGAGGAGACGGCTCCACTCCGATGTTAACACTCACACCGTTACAGATGCATCAAATGGAGCCACTGGAGCCTGAGCTTCGTTGCCAAGTACAACTTTCCTTACTGATCGAGGTTTACAGAAGAATAGAGCCCCAAAAGAGTTCAAAAGACAACCCTTTCATCAATTTGTCAAACCAAAGCCCCTATTACATACCAATCCTCATTCTCTAAGTCGTTTATTTTTAATTAGCCAAGCTCAAGGCAGCCTCGGGAAGGTTGAGAAGAGGGCAGGGCAGGCTAGCACTTCAGGAGGAAAGGCAAGTTACCCCCGGGTCCCTCGCAGGACAATCGGGGACACACACATTTAGAGCACTCAGTAAAGCTTTTCCCTCCCCATCCTTTAAGAAGCTGGACAGTCAGAAGCTTAGCTTTTACTTTTAATCACTGGAGACCCAAATAACATACAAATGTCTAACTAAAGGTCCCTTACTAATATCGAACGCAATCATTTAAAAGGATCCTATTTGTAACGATGATTTTCTTTTTGGAGATGAAACATGTATTATTATGTGAATATACTAAGGGGATGGTCCCTATCATGTTCACTGCTTCCAAATTTTCTTTAGATTCGTTTTGTTCGGTGTGCGCCAGTTCGGGGGCCTGAAGTCAAGGCCTCAAGCCCTCCCGGCATTCTTCACTCTACCACTTCAGCCACACCTCCACTTCTGCCTCTTTTCTGGTTAATTGGGGATATGAGTCTTGGAAATCTTTGTGCTGGCTTTGAACCAGGATCCTCAGATCTCAGCCTCCTGAGAAGTGATGATTACAGATGTTAGCTACCAGCACCCGGCTAACACTCAAGGCAGAGCTGATGGCTATAGCTTGGACCCTGACCTTCTCACAAGGGCCCCTGGGTTAGGAGCCAGGGGGAGCTACTGGTGGGTGGGGGAGCTACTGGTAGGTGGTTGAACCTTCGGGTGGGGCCACAAGCGAGGTCCTCCAGTCCCAGGCGGCATGTCCAGCAAGGGGACTGAAGCACCAGTTCCTCACTTTTTCTGGCTCATTTTGCAAGCTGGTTGCTCCACCAGATACTTCTCCAACCAATTTCTTGCCACAGGCCCAAAGAAATGGGGCCAAATAGCAATGGCCTGGGACCCCAAAACTGTGAGCTCAAATAAACCTGGACCTTTTAATAACTCAACTAACTTGACTTTCTAAATACTTTCACATATTGCTTCCTAAGTTAATTATGTTGTTATGGTAATGAAAGGCAGATGAACACACTAACATAAAACATTTATGATATATGTATACATATATATGTATATACATATATATGCAGAAACCCCAATATTTAAGCTGATTATACAATTTCATGCATCGCATGTGGTATATGTATATATATGCATACATATGAATATATACACACATACATACATAGAGATAGAGATTGGGCTCAGGCCTCACACTGGCTCAAGCTGCTAGCTCAGATAATGGTGCTCTAGGACTTCAATCATGCCCCCGAGTGTGCTTTTTTTTTTTTACTAGTTATTTTGAAGATTGAGAAGAGTCTCTCCAGAATGTCCTTGAACTCTGATTCTCCAGATCCCAGCCTCCTGAATAGCTAAGATTATAGGTGTCAACCACTGCACCTGGCTCTTTAATTTTCTGTTTTAGGTGCTGTTAAATAATTTGAGCAGGAATATATACTGTATGGATAGTTCATTTCTAATCTTCAGAAGGACTGGACCTTGAGATTAAGAAGAATTTCTGTCCTATGTTAGATATGTGCTACAGAACTTACTCATAGCTGCGAATTCTAAAAGGCTTTAAACACGCGCACACATGTCAAACAGAGGAGCTGTGCGGTGGTGTGGACAAGTCCTCAGGTCGTGGTATTTTAGGAAATAGTGCGTGGTCTTCCTGTTACTGTATGGCTACTGTATGGATCCGGGGACCCCACTCCCTTCTTCTCTCATTTATTATGTCCTGGCCACGAGGGGAGGGACTTCCCTCTTGTTCACAGTCCCTCAGAAGGTGCTGCCACAACACAACCCAAAAACAACCCAGCCGGCCACCCACGGACTGAAACGTCCCAAAGTGGGAGCCAACATAAACCTTTCTTCATTGTAAGTTGACATCCTCAGGCATTGTGCCACACTAACAGAAAGCTGATTAACACAATCTGTTAACCGAACACACATATTTATCTAGAGACAGCCACAGACACAACCGTGCATTTAAGCACCCTTTCTACTATCTCCATTACCCTTCGAAACCATGAGAACCACTAAGTGGGCACCACTAATTCAAAAGGCCATTTAGAAAGCCTGACAGATTCACGTTTGCTTCATGCTTCATGGTTTACAATAAGATTTACACATTGACTCTTGTTTTAAAATAAGATAAAAAAATTTAGACTTTGGGATTGCAAGTAGCTCATCAATGATTAAGTAGCAATGTTATCATTTCTCTTACTACTGATTCACTGTTTTTATCCTTTGAAACTTAGTCATCTGGTCATAATGTTTTTTTCTTTTATAAAACTAGCCTGTCAGACTTTAATCAGTAATACAGAGAGAAACAAACAGATTTGTCTGATGCTTTCTTGGACCACCTTAAAACTTGGTTGTCATTTTATATAACAATCAATTTCAGAGTATTAAATGGCAAAATGAGCTAAGGCATACTAAATAGATAAGCCCATTTTGGAAAAGTCTTATGAATTAGGCAGACAATGTATTTCCAAACGTCACAAAATTTAAGTTCTAACTTTTTTTTTAACTTTCACTTGGTACCTGTCATATCTAATCTCATTAATTAAATTATACACTGGTCTGCTGGATTGCTTAATGATCTTAACAGAATCAGGTAAATGCTTTAAGATGCTTGAACACAATTCATTAATTAGGAAGCAAATGTTCCATTTTTAGAATTGCAATAGGATGATGTGCAAAAGAATGTGAGAAACATTAACTAAAGGTTACCAAAACGACTAGCAACAAAAAGTCAGGAAATGGAAGAATCGGGCACCACTGGCTCATGCCTGTAATCCTATCTACTCAGAAGTCTGAGGTCTGAGGATCGCTGTCCAAAGCCAGCCCTGGCAGGAAAGTCCGTGAGATACTTATATCTCCAATTAACTAGCAAAAAGTCAGAAGATGAGCTGTGGCTCAAATATGGTAAAAGGCTTTAAACATGCATGCAAGCGCTGATGGACAGCGCCCAGGCCTTGAGTCTTGAGTTCAGGCCCAAGTACCAGCACACAAAAAAACTAAAAAAACAATCAAAAAAAGAAAAGAAAGACAGACATGGGAGAGGTAGGCATAGGTTTTACAGCATATTATACTGGATTTTAAGACAGTCCTGATACTTTTTTAAGGTGTGCTGTTACAATGAGATGTCCTCATTCTGCCCCGTTCCAAGCAGGCATTTGAAAAGTCTACTAAAACGATGATAAAGAAAATGCTTACGGGTTTGTATCTCAGCGCATCTCTGTAGGATCCAAACAAAGCCGCCTGAGCCCTGAGGAAGGCCCTGGCCACACCATCCCCCGTAGCTGTGGACTGCTTCTTCAGTTTATTTTTCAAGGCCGAGACCTGCGTGTCAGAGAGGAACGGTTAAATTAACACCTCAGAAATTGGTACAGCGAGGTACGAACCCAATCAGCAGGCAAACCAGAGAGCCTGCAGGTCAGCCAAAAAAATGTCTCCTCCCGCCCAATAGCTTATCTGTGCAACTGTGCAGGCACCTGCTGCTCTGTTAATTGAAAGGAAAGCAGGATGGATGGCAATGGGCTGATGCAAATTGGTTTATGCTCTTTTTTTTCCCTTTCCCAAGGCCTCTTGACATAAATAAGCTTTAATTACTTTACAGTAAACTGCTTACAAGCCACTTTTCCACACATTTTTAGGATTACATGTGTGTCTGCTTGTTTGGAGATAAACCTGGCTGGATATCGCTCCTTTCTGCGAGGTGAGGTCATTTGTTACGCGTCTTCTGCGTTTGCTCACAATTGCATTGTACTGTGGGAGGCCTCATTTGCATATATGATTTTCCAGGTATTTACTAAATAGAGTTTGTCATTAGAAAGAGCAGAGAGGTGATAAAGTTATTGAGACCGTTTAATGAGTGAAGAATTTACATTATGCGAATGTTATACACGGTCTCATATAATCTTCACAAAGGTATCTTAAGAAAAACACCTGTGTTCTCATTTTTGAATGAAAAACTAGGAGCATAACCCATGAATTAATCTGCTTGGACTGTGTAGCTACCGAGAGGCAAAGCTGTGATATGAATCTGCTGAATTTGTGTTCAATGCTATCGCCTTGTAAACCCATAATCAGAATAATAAGCTTTTAAATAGAAGCAATAATTTACCTATGCATTTACATAATCATGAGACAGTTTCAGTTGTAATCATGTATCATAACTAGTCCATCATTTACTTGTTTCGTTGTGGGGGGAGAGGGGTAGTTCAGTAGCTTAACACAGAGCCTGGGGGCTGTCCCTGAGCTTTTTAGCTCAAGGTTAGTGCTCTACCACTTGAGCCACAGCTTCACTTCTTGCTCTTTCTGGTAGTTAATTGGAAATAAGAGTCTCACAACCTTTCCTGCGAGGGCGGGCTTTGAACCACAATGCTCAGATCTCAGCCTCCTGAGTAGCTAAGATTATAGCTGTGAGCCAGTGGTGTCTAGTCCACCTTTTAAGTTTAAATGCTATGTCTTTTGGAGAATTATACTTTCTACACACAGCCTTTAATCTTTTTTTTTTTTTTT